GCATCACAGCTCACAGCAACCTCCAACTCCTGGGCTCAAGCGAGTCTCCTGCCTCAGCCTCCCAAGTAGCTGGGATAACAGGTGCCTGCCACAACGCCCGGCTATTTTTTGGTTGCAGCCATTATTGTTGTTTGTCAGGCCTGGGCTGGATTTGAACCCGACACCTTAGGTGTATGTGGCTGGCGCCTTAGCCTCTTGAGCCACAGGCACCGAGCCCTGTCTTCTTCTAAATCCTATTTTTATTTCTTTTCTTGGGAAAAGGTGATAGTTTGAATTTCCCCCATCTGTTGAATAATTCATGTGTGTTTTGAAACATATCTTTATATTCTTTTTTTCATTTTAAAATAATTTGATTTTGTTTGTAAAAGTAACATATACTTACTGTAGAAATTTTGGAATATATAGAAACTAATATGAAAACACATAGCCTCGATTCCTGCTATCTACTCAGGTACCACCACTGTTAATGTTTTCTTACCATAACTCTTCTTCTTCCCTTTGCATCTCATTTCTCCCATTCTGCCACCTCTGCTGATGGTTAAGAGCAGGCACTATGGAGTCAGACTGTTGAGTTGCAGTTGTCAGTTTGTCAGTTACTGTTCTACTCCTGATTTGCACTATAACATTAAGGCCTCTCTTTCTTTCCGTGTCTATCTTTCTTTCTTTTTTTTTTTTTTTGCAGTTTTTGGCTGGGGCTGGGTTTGAATCCGCCACCTCTGGCGTATGGGGCCAGCGCCCTATTCTTATGAGCCACAGGTGCCGCCCCTATGTCTACCTTTCTTATTCTTTGGTTAGTTGAGAATTCAGTTTATTATGACTGTGATCAGAGAGAAAAGTTATATTTCTTCTTCACCTTCTCTGTACTATCTACATTCTTTCTTATCAGTCTTATTTGTTGATTGGAATCTATTCCATTTTTCTTACAATATTCTAAAAATTTGTCAGCTTTAGCTCTGATTTGGGCTGACTGATTTCTAGATTATTGCCAGCTGTCATTCTTTTCCCCCTTGAATTCTTTGGTTAAATTTGTCATTTGTACTTTCTACATTTCCCTTTTTATTTTGCTGGTTTCTAAGTTTCTAAGAAACTTTCTTAGAAAGGGTTGCATGGGAAGTAACCTTTACAGTCCTGGGGTATCTTGAATTGACTGAGTATAGAATTCTTAATTGACTGAGTATAGAATTCCTTTCATGACTTTGAAGGTCTTCTCATCTTCTAGCCTCCATTGTTGCTGAAGATCATCTGATGCTAATCTAATTTTTCTTCCTTTTTAGGAGACCTAAATTTTCATTTTTGTAAGTTCTTTGGATCTTTGTTTTTCTATGGTGTCTCATAATTTTTTGATTTATTATGTTGGAGTAGGAAGTGCAATGTGTTTACTGGATTATCAGTCAATATGCTTGGCTTTCATTTAATTTTCTTATTTTACTTAGTGATAAACACATATGTACTTTGAAAATTGAATAATCATGTAACGTTGCTTTTCATTTTCAGGTGTTGCTGCCTATGTTGGCTGGCAAAGCTCCTCAATTCTCAAGCCTCTACTACAACAAGGTCTTAGTGATGCTGAGGAATTTGTTATTGTGAAAGCTCTTAATGCCCTTACTTGTATGTGCCAGTTGGGGCTTCTACAAAAACCCCATGTCTATGAGTTTGCCAGTGACATTGGTAAGTTTCTGTTTCTCCAAATTAGAATGAGAAAATTAGGGTATGGGAAGAACTTTATTAATATTTCTAGGTAATATATAGTAAGAATTGTAGCCTTATTCTTCTTACTATTGATTGTGTGGGTGTGTATATATGATTATATGCATGTGTGCATGTTTCTGTATATGTTTCTTCAGCCCAGGTTGGGAAGTATCACTTTGTTTTTGTCACCCTTGAGAAAAAATGAATTTTTTAACATGTGTGTAAATCCTTGACTGGTCTAAAGATTAAACTTATTTTTTAGATACTTGACCACTAGTCAAGTTGAAAATTGGAAGTGAAGGATTATCTATGACATTTGTCATTGCATTGATTGCCAGTTACGAATTCCTAATATTGAAGTTATCAATGTTAGTGATTTTATGAACTACCAAAGGAAAGAATTACTTGACCTTGATAGTACTCATTATTTCTCTCAAACTTTTTAAAAATGCAGAATAAGAGCAAATAAATGTGGCAAATTCTAAAATTAAGAGTATCTCAAACTTTTAATTTCATTATTGTTTCATTTTAACAAAGGAAGCAAGGTAACATTGCCAGTTGGCTCTGTATTGGGAGGATCTAAAATCTTAGAAAATTGTCTTTTTAGATAAAATACCTAATTGCTACTAAGTGCTTTGCAAAGAAAATTAATAAGAAAGTTGGAATTGGTTAGACTTGAATAATCAGTTTTCCTGGAGGCAATCCTCAGAGAAAAAAGATGGGACGTTATTTGATGGTTGCGAAACTGTATGGTAGATAGTAGAGATTAAAAAAAATTCTGTAAAATTTTAAGGCATGAATATAGATTTTTTAAAAAATTGTGGAAATTAAAAAACATGTAGATTTTTTTATTTTGCACTCTAATATCTAGAATTGTTCTTTTGGTTTATAATTTTAATTTGGTTTGAATTTTTTAATGATTATGTTGCAAGTAATCATAAATTTGGTAGAAAATTGTTGGATATTGGCAACACAATCATAATAAGACTCTCTGTTGCTTAGAAATTTTGTTTTAAATTTCAGATTAATATGAGGGTATAAATGATTAGGTTACATTGTTTGCGTTAGATAAAGCCAAAGTTGTAGCTGAGCCTTTCACGTAGGTAGTGTGCCATTATACCCTGACATTGTGCCTGTTAGGTGAGAGAGCACACCAGTCTGCCTTAATTGTGTTTTCTCTTGTGTGGGTGTGTAGTTGTTACTTAGAAATGTTTTGATTGTTTGAATAAGCTGCAGGGTGCTAAACTTTGAGGGATTCATTATCTCTAAGTTTTTGCCATTTTTTTTAAGAAGCTAGTGACTCAGGAACCCAAAGTGATCAATACTATAATAAAACAAAATATATTAGGGTGTTTTTTGAATTTCTGGTCCTGTGTAGTGTAAGGCAGTAATAGAAAGCAGCCATTCTCATAATTTGTAAGGAGAAAACATATTATCTTTACATGTCTATCTTGCTTGCTACCTGGACTATTTTCGTGTTTTAATTTTTGTGAATTCTTACATCAGTGTTTTCTTTCTCTCCTGTGAAAATGGCCCTACCTCCCAGATTGAATTGAGTTGTTCTTGTTTTGGACTTTGATCTTTATCTTAATAAACCTCTGTGTGTGTGTGTGTGTGTGTGTGTGTGTGTGTGTATTTGTGCTATAATTTTACATAATACATTTCTTCTGTTGCTTTGTTATTTGGAAATTATTTTTGACATTTAAGGTCCATGGAGTTGGGCCTGAAACCTTAGTTCACTGGGGCTACCCTTGATCCTGGATTCATAACAGCCAGCCTGTGATGGAATTCATTGGTGTGGGCTTGCTGACTTTGTTAATGAGAGTGAGCCTGGAGGCTGTGGATACTGGCCTGAAACTTGGGTGCATGGGGGCTGATCTGGTGCTAGGACAAGCCTTAAGCCTGAGTCTGCTTGGCCCAGCTTAGGCCTTGTGCCTGGTCTGTGGGGATAGGCCTGGTCCTTAATGCAAGGGCCCATTAGAGTGTGTCCAGAGTCTGAGACCATAAGTATGAGCCTGGGCCTGGACCTACAGTGCTTAGGTGGGTTCCCTAGTCTACTGGGGTGGGCTTGAACCCTGGGTCCTCTCCAGCCTGTGTCCTCTAGGGCCTACTGAGCACTGGGGCTGGTCTGGAGACTGAGTCTTCAGGGACAGGTCTGCATCCTGGGTCCATAGTGGCTGGCCTGGAGTGTGTGACTTTAAGGGCATAGAGCCTATGTAGGTAGGCTGAGGACCTGGGTTTTACTGATTTGGGCTTGGTGCTGTGGCCTGTGGCAAAGTTGGGTACTCACTTAATCTTCTCACCCCACTTGGGAAGGTATTGCTCTGCACTGTGCTGCCCAGGCTCAGAGGCTGTTCATGTGTTTAAGTGGATAATTTGAAACTATCTTTCCTACCTGTTCAAAGTGGCTTTTCTTACTTTTCTGCTGTACCCAAGTATGCTAATCTTTCATCTGGACTCCCTACCTCTTATAATGGTGTTTTCATATGTGGATAGTTGTTAAAATTGATTTCACTACAAGGAATTGAATCCTGAAATGTCCTGTTCTGCCATCTTTCTGATATCACTATTTGTTGTAGTGATTTTTAAAGGCGGTTTTGAAGGTTATCATGATTTCTTTGGCAGCCCTTTTAAAAACTACATACTTGGCCAGGCTCATGTCTGTAATCATAGTGCTCTGGGAGGCCAAGGTGGGTGGATTGCTTGAACTCAGGAGTTTGACACAGCTTGAGCAAGAGCAAGACCCCATCTCTACTAGAAATAGAAAAAACTAGCTGGGTGTTGTGGCAGGTGCCTCTAGTCCCAACTACCAAGGAGACTGAGGCAGGAGGATCACTTTAGTCCAAGAGTTTGAGGTTGCTGTGAGCTATGTTGACACCATGTTGACACCTCAAAGTTGACAGAGCAGAGTTGACACCACTCTGCTCAGGATGACAGAGGGAGATTTTGTCTAAAAAAAGAAAAAAAAAAACTACACTCTTACCACTTAAATATTATGAATACTTCTCTCATGCTTCTCAATTCAATAGTTGAAATGTATTGAGTAGAGAAAAGACTGAATATTCTGTTTTATAGTCATCCCTTTGCTGCAGGCTCCTTATTTTTTGAGTATTATAAGTGCTTTATTTTAGTCAGCTACTTACTGATACAACTTTATAGCAACCACAGAATCTCAGTAATTATTTCAATAAATTTCTCCTCATGCGTCTGCAGGTTGTATGGGTGGTTCTGCTTCTGGCTGTGCGTCTTCAGATTGTCTGTGGTGACTGTGATTCATCTGTCTCACTCTGGGGCCCTGGTTGTAGGGGCAGCAGCTACCCACGTTATGTTCTTCTCATGGTGACGACAGAAACATGGGGTAAACTACTTATGCAGCTCATTTCAAGTTTCTATTGCATTACCTTTGCTAATACTCATTGCCAAAGCAGGTAATGTGACCGAGGGAAAGGCAGGGAGCACAGAAGTATTGGTTATGTATCACAAGGACTTACAGAGTGTGTGTGTGAGTGTGGTTATATAATGCAGGAAAGTTAAGAACTGGGGCAAAGAATTCAATATGATACCGTTCCCAGCTCCTGTTAAGCCACTATGGGCTTAGCTACTTTCTGAAGTTTAGTCAGTGTTTTCTCAGTCCTCATTTTCTCTCTTGTCAGAGGGAAATAAATATACCATCCCTCTCTTGTTAGATGGACCAGAAGCTCAGGGTGTTCATGAAATGACCAGAACTCTTTTCGTGTATAAATAGAAGAACTGGAAATGTGAGAACTTTGGGAGAAAGATTTTGAACACCTCTTGTCTCCTTCTCCTTTAAATATATATGTATTATGATGGTGTTCCTCTTCTCTGTTAACTTGAATTTCTTACGAAATAAACATCCCCTGAATGCTAGTATCTTTAAGTGCTCAGAGCTAATACAAATACTTTTTTTCCTTTGCTTTTAGAAGTTTGACTTCATTCTAAATCAGATTAATGTAGCATGTAGTAGTTCATACTTTATTTTCTTTTATGTAAAGAAATCTTTTATTAAATCAATAATTGTAGGCTTAATATGTAAAATTGTTGAAAAGGGTGAAAAGGCATTCATTTACTTTTCTGGTTTAATATTATATTTTGAACTTTTTAAGAATAGGCATTATGTCTTCTGCCTTTTTTGTTTCCATTCATGATGTCTTATGAATGAAATTATGAATTGTATATTAAATTTGCAGAATGTCAGATAGGTCAGATTGTTTCCTTAAACTTAGACGGTGGCTTGGAGAAGTAAGAACTCCCCAGTTTCCCTGCTGCTTCTGTGGTGGATGCTCTTTGCTTGAACTTCTGTGGGGTACATCTAGGGGAGTGACAATTTGCTGTGCATTGTTGGGACTTTTTGTGTTTCTGTATAATAGTTTAAGTCTAGTATAAGGAGTAGGTGCCTACCTATTTTTAGCCCTACGTAAAAAATATGTATATATTTTAAATCCTCAGAAAGAGATAACTTTTTATTTTATAGTACTACTAACATTTATGATAAGAGAATATTACCTAATAATAGTGTGTTCATTTGGTTGAGTTTTTGCCTCGGTGTAAATGAGTATGTGAAGGCATTTGATAGTAACATTGCAGTATAATCCTTTTCTCAGTTATGGTATAATGTGAAGTTTGTTCATACTGATAGTTTGAAATGAACAAGTTAACTTATTTGAAACATACCTTTTTTCCCCTCCCTCTTTAGCTCCCTTCCTGTGTCATCCCAACTTATGGATACGCTATGGTGCTGTGGGATTTATCACAGTGGTAGCCCATCAAATAAGTACTGCTGATGTCTACTGTAAACTGATGCCTTATCTCGACCCATATATTACCCAGCCAATCATACAGGTATACATGTTCCAACTTATAGTCAATCCTCCCTCCAAACTGTGTCCTTTAACAAAATGTTTAGAAAGTCCTATTTTTTCTTTAAATTTTTAGAAATTTAAATTGGACTATTGCATTTTCATACTCATTTCTAACTTTTTAATGTTAATAGGCCAAGCAACTTGGAAGATGAGAAAAATTCAAGAGAATGTTGTTATATATCATGTTATGCTTAATATAGCATGTAGTAGTTCATACTTTATTTTCTTTTATGTAATTTTGTAACTCATTTGCTATTAAAGTGAATATAATCTGGTAGAAATGCATATTGATGGACCTCTGCTTTTTATTGTAAAATGTATAACTGATTTCAGCCAAAGTCATCATTTATAATAAATTAGCAAAAGTCCCTGGTTTTATTTTTTTTCCTTTTTCATCTAACCAATTCCTCCCTTCCACCCCCTGGCCTTTTACCTTTAGCAATATAGTTCTTGATAATAAACTTTGGGTCTATGGTTTGTACAAGGTAAATTTTATTTACCTAGCTTGTCAGTGTTTATATCCTTCATCTTGCTAGACAGCCAACTATCAAAATAGATACTTAAATTAAATGAAACATTGAGTCTCATGAAACGTTCTGTCTGTTAAAATAATGTGAAAAAATGGGCGGTGCCTGTGGCTCAAAAGGTAGGGCACTGGCCCCATATACTGGAGGTGGCGAGTTCAAACCCAGCCCCAGCCCTCCCCAAAAAAATGTGAAAAAAAAAATTTTTTTTTAACCAAAACTTAAGTTTTTCACTTGGAAATTCACGTGCTTCTCTGGTTTTCTCCTACCTTTGTATCTTAATGTACCTTCCCTTAGAGAAAATGGCACGGCTAAAGTCTGGAAATAGGGCAGATTTTGCCACGTCTTCAGTCCTTACTTTCCTCATAGATTCATTTATTTCTGGGAATCATTATTCCTTATTTCATAGAGTTTAGAGAATTTTTTATCTTTAAGAATAATTTACGTATATATGAAAGATGGATAGCCCTACATGAAAAAAATGCCTTAAAAATGTTTATTTATGGCTCATTGGAAATTAGATATTGACTATTCTATTTAGAAGTTTATTCATTAAACATTTGCTTTTGACTGGGCATGGTAGTTCATGCCTGTAATCCTAGCACTTTGAGAGGCTGATGCCAGTGGATCACTTGAGCTCAAGAGTTTGAGACCAGCCTGAGCAAGAGCGAGACCCTGTCTCAACTAAAAGTAGGAAAACTAGCTGGGTGTTCTGGCAGGTGCCTGTAGTCCTAGCTACTTGGGAAGCTGAGGCAAGAAGATCACTTGAGCCCAGGAATTTGAGGTTTCTGTGAGCTATGACTCCACAGCACTCTACTGAGGGCAACAGAGTGAGACTCTGTCTCAAAAAAAAAAAAAATTATATATATATATAATCTTTAAAAAATAAACTTTTGCTTTTATTATTGGTTTGTATTTTGAGAGGCCAGGATCAGGAGTTAAGAGGCTACTTAGGCATTTGTTTCATGAATCTAATCTTTGTACAGTTTAGGTTGGGCAAAAGATGCCTTTTATGCTGCTTTCCACTGGTCAATGCACCAGGTAGTTAACTACATCTAAAGAAAGTGCTCATTCATTTTCTTATATAGTCATTGACAAGGAAAGTATTCTTTTGGATAATAAAAGGAAGGATTTTATCAATTCTATGGAAAGAGTAATGAATAATATTTTTTAGAAGTGGTTGAATCTTTTGGGATCAGTAATGACTGAAGGAAGAAGATCTGTGGTTATTGAGTATCTTTTCTGGATCAGTGTCTACTGTTATTAGACCAGTGAACTACATATAGTTTTTAAATCTTGGATGTCATCTGATGTATTGGGATCTAGAGAAGACTCTGTATTGTTTTCTAAAATTTTCTAGCATAGGCAGTTGTATTAGCCTTCCAATGTGATAGACACAGATTTGTGCTCTGTGCTGACAGTAAAAAGTAAGAAATGCCTTACCCTTTTTTCACTAGTGTTTTTTTCCTTCTATACAAAAATGGCGGCTGTTGACATATTTTATTTTCTTAGGAAATAAACACCTGTGTTAACTATTCATAAGTTGTATTTATTGAATTTGAAAATAATTATACTGTATGTTGTATTTTTGGCTGATTCTGTTTATTTTTCTAATATAGATTGAAAGAAAACTTGTTCTACTCAGTGTTTTAAAAGAGCCAGTAAGTCGCTCTATATTTGATTATGCTTTGAGGTCTAAAGATATCAGTAGCTTATTCAGACATCTTCATATGCGTCAGAAGAAACGAAATGGGTCTCTTCCTGACTGCCCACCACCTGAGGATCCTGCAATAGCACAGCTTCTGAAGAAATTGCTCTCACAGGTTGTACCAACTTGCTGAAATCTTATATTTAAATTCAAATTTTGTAAAACTGTTGAAGTGTTCATTTAGCTATTAAAATATTTTTTATTGATTAGTGTTACATTATAAAAAATGAAGACATTAACATGGCAAACATTTTATGCATTTGCCTTGGTATCCAAGCAAAGATATTAGGAAGATAAAGCATTTAATTGAACTAAATGAAGAATCATGGCAGGCCTATTAAGTTTCTTTTGTGATTACTGGCTAAGTAAATGAGGGAATGTAGAAATAACCTTAGATTTAAGTAATATTCTTGATTTAATAACACATTTTGCCAAAACCAAAATGCACTTCAGCAAGAAGAAATGTGCAAAGCACAGATGCAGTATAGAAAGGTCCTGGTTCATTTTAGTCTAAATTTATTGAGTTCTCAGGACATGGAAACAGCCGAAATAACTTGATAATGAATCTAAGGCGAATAAACCAGCAGTTTACTGCTATATCTTTAAAGCCTATACATTTGGATCCATTAATGATTTGTCTTAAAACTAGGAAGTAATCTTTTTATTATAGTTTGGATTGATAATGTGGAACCTAGAAAAGTCAAGGCAGAAATAAAGAATACAGTTGGTGAATATGTGCTCCGTGAGCCATAAGGCAAATACTGAGGACGTTCATAGCTATCTTTAATTCTGCAGAATGTTTTTGTACAGAGAAATCTTGTCAGTCATCTCTTGTCTAACAAGAAAAGAAGATGAGAAAATGCATTCAGTTACAGAGACAGAATTTTTTAAGTTTTATGATGTAAATTCTTTCATGTATTATACTTGTCACGCATATCTACCACTGTTTGATGCCTGAGCGTTGGTTTAGGTGATTGAACATTGGAACAGGCTCCTGTGGGAAGCTGGTCAATACCATTTTGATTCTTTTAGATCTAGATTTGCCTGGAGGTTATGGCTGCCTCTGAATGTCTCTTCTAGGAGAGTGGTTTGTTTTCTTTTGTTTTTGAAGACTTGATTTGATGTGACTTGAATTTCTGAAGAGCTTTTTCTTTGGGTTTTCTCTTCAACATGGCTTATATATTAGATTTCTTCTATACTTTAGAAAGCAGTTTGTAGAAAATTGGATTCTGAGTCACATATTTTTTGTCATTTCTCTTGAGTAAGTATGGAAAAGATTTTGGCATGCAATAAAAATTATCCCAATCAAAATTATTTCTTTAGCCTTGGACCTTATGACTCTTTGTATTTCTTTTTTCTCCTACCAATCCTGTATGTTAAAGGCCTCCATCCTTAAATTTTATTTTCATTATAAGTCATCAGTTACCCTATGGAGGCACTCTAGCCCCTTATCCCTTCTTGTCACTTGCTAACATATAGGTTTTTCCATTAGTCCCTGATGCCAAAAACGCTGAAGACTGCTGACACAGATAGTAATAAGGCTGGAATTTGAACCCAGGTAGTCTGACTCCAGCCATTATCCTAGAATGCTAGTAGTTGTATTGCTTAGGTTTACAATTCAGCCAGCATTCTTATCAATTTCTCAGTTGTGTAAAATATTTATATATCATAGAGTGTCTTCACATACTTATTTAATGTAAATTTCTCAACACAACCAGAAGCAAAGTTGAAGTACATACATTCTTTTACTTAATATTGTACATTCAGAGTTTTTGTTTAGATATTATATGTATATTTATTGAATAGTTATCTATTACATGTTAAGTTCTTTGGAAGTGTCAAAGATGAATTAAATTTGAATGCTGTCATTTAGGAAGAGAGTTAAGATATAAATTATCAAATTAGAACGTGTCCTAATAGTATTCTGGGAGATCCCAGTAGTGACATGTTCTGTATCGATACTTTGTTTTCACTTACATGTGCTTGCTTCAATACACAAGTCTTTCAATTTTAAATTTGGGGTAGTTTGACCCTTTAGTTAGTCATTCTGAGGCCTGTTATTCCTTGTGAGAATAATCTAAAATATGTGGTTCTGTTTGGTTGTAGGGAATGACAGAGGAAGAAGAAGACAAACTTCTGGCACTGAAAGACTTCATGATGAAATCTAATAAAGCAAAGGCCAATATAGTGGATCAGAGCCACCTTCATGATAGTAGTCAGAAAGGTATAATTGACTTGGCAGCCTTAGGCATAATTGGGAGACAAGTTGATCTTGTTAAAACCAAACAAGAACCAGATGACAAACGGGGTTAGTATATTTCTTTGTGTATTGTATGTGTTTAGCTTACTATTATGAGTTATTTCATAAGACTGTTTTTTAGCTAGCTAATGATAAAAAGTCCCATTTCTCATATATAGAACTTTCAAATACACTGACTTCATTACTTAAGAGGGATATTTCAGGGAGGAAAAGTGAGAAAGGGAACCATACAATTAGGTGATTAAGTAATCTACCAAATCACAGCTCTGTATGTGATGAACCAAGGCTTAATTCCAAAGCCTTGTAATAAAATCATGTTGTCTCTGTGGAGGTATATGATTGAAGATGGAATTCTGTTTTTCTAATCCTTTCAACACCAACAACCTAAGGGCAATAATAGCCTTATATAAAAAAAGATAAAGGTTTGTGATTTATTATTAGTGGATAATACCCAATGAATTTAAAAGAATAGTTTTGCTATTTACAATGAAATACATAAGTAGAGACCAGAGAAGCCCTAACCATTTGCAGTCTTGATTTTTGAAACTGTTAGCTCTTCTGACATTGCCATTGATTGTATGAGGTTTTATATATACTGTTTTTGCAGGTGTAGTCACTAGTAGGTACATGGTTTTAAAAATTCCTCTATTTCAGCATTAGATTTTGAGAGCAGTTAGTCAATTATATTTAAAATCTTCTAATTGCTAATATTGGGATAAAGTATTTGTAATATAATTTTTAATGATTTATATCCATAAATAAAAGTATTAATACAAGTTAGTGAGAAAAGCACACCAAAAGAAAAAGGGGAAAGGATTTGAACATAAAACTGATTGATAGAAGAATAGAAATGCATATATATGAAAAGGTAAATAACAAATGCAAATTAAAACAATGATAAATGCCATTTTTTTTCTATATGATTAGCAGATACTGGTGATACCTGGTATTGTGAAGTGTGTATCATTAAAATATAGTTTATGAGGTTTATAAAGTTGAAGGAAAGCTGAAGCACCACCACCTAGTAAAAGTTCAGGCTATTACAGTTATGAGAGCAATTCATGCTATATTTTGGTAATGGTAGAACTTTGTGTTATTTACTTTTTTTATTGTTGGACAAAGATAAAAATAAAAGATTTTACATTTGTCTATAATAAGGATGTAGCTGTATACCAGTCAAATTTTTAAATTTCTTCTTTTTTTAGTTTCTGTTTGCTTTTGAAATAACTGATCCTTGAAATGGGGAAGTCATATTTAACATATTTAGCAGCATGGGCAGTGCCATTGAAGAAGTAGTTTTTATTGTCTCTTCTTTAGATAAAGTGGTTACTTGAAATTGAGCTAGCCTTAGGAAACTGGAGCGCAATTAGGTCTAATTATTAACACCACTGAAAGCACATCTGTTCCATCTGCTAGATAGGTGAAGTGAGAGTTAATGAGTTGATACATAAATATGAATAAATTAGAACTCTTAAAGAACAAATATGATGTGAAGTCCATTGCTTCCCCCCCACCTCTTAAGACAATAAAGCATATACTAATTTTAAAGGCTACCTTTAGACTAACTATTCTGAATATATTTTCATAGCTAGAAAACATGTAAAACAAGACTCAAATGTAAATGAAGAATGGAAAAGCATGTTTGGGTCTCTGGAGCCACCAAACATCTCACAGGCCCTACCTAAAGGGAGTGACCAAGAGGTGATTCAGACTGGGAAGCCTCCTCGTTCTGAGTCTTCTGCTGGCATTTGTGTCCCTTTGTCAACTTCTCCACAGGTACTGTCATCTAGACAGTAGTATTCCTTATGTCTTTGAATCTTATTCTGCTGTTTTATTTGTTTAAAAACTGTGTACCTTACTAGGAAAATCAATGTGGTGACTTGTCCTTCAGGGAGGACATATTTCTTTCTGAGACAGGTTTATCTTTAATTTTACAGCCAAGGGGAAGTCTAGTTATCAAAAGTGCCAAAAAGGTCTCATTTTAGAGTACTTGCCAATAAAAGTGATCTGAAATTGTGAGTTGAAGACATTATTATGAACTGGGATTATGATTAGGCTACAATAAACCATTTAAATTTTTTTATTCTTCCTTTAATATAACATAGTTACATTTGTAAAATAGCAAAAATACTTGTGGAAAGAAGTCTCAAGTTTGCTATATATGATAAATGTCACGATGATTTTGACAGAGACGGTTCCCAACTTAAAATGGTTTGTTTGACTTAATGATGTTTCTACTTGTCCGTGGTAGGAAAGCTATATGTGTTCAGTAGATACTGTGCTTTTGGTACCCATATAATCATCTTGATTTTCACTTCGAAAACAGTGTCAGCTAGTGAATACTTTACATATTATAAAATAGGCTTTGTATTTGATAATTTTGCTTAAGTGTAGGATACTATAAGTGTTCTGGGTATGTTTATGGTAGGGTATGCTAAGCTGTGATATTTAGTAGGTTAGGTTTATTAAGTACATTTTCTTCTTATGATAATTCAATTTATGCTGGGTTTATTGGGATGTTAACTCTGTTCTGTTATCAAGGAGCCTCTGTATTTGAAATTAGTTTGTAATTTTTGTAACTAATCATATCTTAAAAGTATTAATTGAACTAGACTGATAAAATTGAAATTCTCTTTCTTTTCATTTAAATTAATGAGAATTTTTGTTTAATGTTATTTTTATGCTGAAAATTTTTTTTACCTAAATGTAGAAGTTTGGAATTGTACCATTTGTGGTTATCTAGGTTTTCATTGAGAAAACATCATTCAGTTAGACAGATTTTAAAACTGGTACATTAATAGGGACAAAAAGCTGATACATAGATTTTAAAACTGGTACATTAATATGGACAAAATGCACAGGTAAAACATGGGTACCTTTTTGTATTCAAATGTATTTTGTTTATGACATAAACATCTATAATTCTATTTGTTTTGCAGGTTTCAGAAGTGACAAATGTCCAGAGTAAGAAACCGGTAATACAAGTTTTAAGTAGTACAATTCTGCCATCCACTTACCAGATTCGGATCACAACTTGTAAAACTGAACTTCAGCAGCTCATACAACAGAAGCGGGAGCAGTGCAATGCTGAGAGGATCGCCAAGCAAATGATGGAGAATGCGGAATGGGAGAGCAAACCTCCTCCACCTGGTAAAAGTCCCCGCAGATAGGTAGTTGTGTTCCACCTGGGTGCCTGAGCCTAGACTCTAAGTTAGGAAACTGATCCTTAATTACCAGACAAGGACGTGAGAACAAAACTGTCATTTGGGAGATGCAGAACAAAGAGCAATAAGTGAGAAATCTTAAATTATTATTTGTGGAACTGGATCGTTTTAGTTGGGGGGACAACTTGCAGTGTCATATTTAGGCTGGTTTCTTAATATTCATAATTTAGTCTGTGCTTCATTTTCCCCATTTATAGTAGTTGTTTTTACCTGCTATTGTCATGTCACTTTCTCATTGAATGTCAGGCTTCTTGGAACTAAACTCTTTTAATTTCTGGAAGATTTAACATACATCTATTAATATTATGTAAGAGAAAGGCAAAAACTTTTGAAAATAATATTTTTAAAAAGAAAACAGCATTACCTCATAATCCCACCACTTAGTGGTTATCAACATTAAGATTTTGGGGATGTAGTTCTGTAACCCTAGGAGATTTAAAAGAAATTTAAAGGTACTTCAGATAAAATTATAGCTCAGCTATGTTAGCAGGTTTGTCTGGTGTAGTATGGCAGAGTTAGTCTTTGATATTAGGTTAGTAGATTTCTAAAAAAGTTTTATGAGTTTCTATACTTAGATTTTAATAACAAAAATTTAACTTGAAAATTCTCTGAGGAGAAATTTATAATGTGCTTATGTGTAGACTCTTAAGAATCATGTGAATTCCTATGGGCCTCTGATGTGAACTTGGGAAGATGCTGGTAGAAGTCAGTGATTTAAGGTTTTAGAAAATATTATTAAGTGTCAAGTGGCATCTCTAGTCACATAATTTTTCTTATTAAAATAAATATCTTGGAATGTTTAAGCTGTTTCCTTGATATAAGTCAGTATTTTTACAGGCTGTCCTTTAAAAAAAGAAAAAAGTTGACCACAAATTATCTACTTAATTTTATGATAGGATTGGTTTTTATAAGTGGCATTTTATTTTTACTGGAATTACACATTTTATTTAGTAAATCACAGAAAAGATGTCAGATTTTGTGGTTCAAGGAATATACAATGACTGTTGGACTCTTGATGTTTTTCTTTCCACACTTTAGTGGTTGTGTGAAATTGATTTTCTTTACAGGGAAATGTTCAATCTTGTCTGATAGATTGTCTAGACTGTTTGACAGAGTAGTTTTGATCACTTTCAAATTCAGCATATTGTCCTTAAAAAGGATGTTCAGCTGTTGTTCCCACACATGAGCTAGAGCTCCAAGGGAAAATGTTTTATTTGTTGCCTTTTCATTATTGTTTCTTGGTAAAAAAAAAAAAAAAAGTTATTTCTAAAATGGCATTGTTAACACTCAGTTACAATGCTGCCTGCCGGTACAGTATATTTTCAGCATAGCTTCCTGTTTTATTTTAATATTGAAGAATATTAAATATAATGAAATGTTATATTTAGTATGATACAAAAAACTTTATTCATCAAACATTGAAGATAGTTATGTGCAGTGACCTATGCTAAGTACTATGAATGATTCAGAATGCATAAGACATGGTTTATGGATTCAGGGATTGTATAATTTATTTTAGGAAATCACACACAAAGAGAATATACATAATAAAACACAGGGCTCGGCGCCTGTGGCTCAAGTGGCTAAGGCGCCAGCCACATACACCTAAGGTGGCGGGTTGAATCCAGCCTGGGCCCGCCAAACAACAATGATGGCTGCAACCGAAAAAAAAAAAATAGCCAGGCGTTTGGCCGGCACCTGTGGTCCCAGCAGCTTGGGAGGCAGAGGCAGGAGACTCGCTTGAGCCCAGGAGTTGGAGGTGGCTGTGAGCTATGCCATGGGGCACTCTACCCAGGGGGACAGGTTGAGGCTCTGTCTCAAAAAAAAAAAAAAAACACACACTCACACAGAAGGTTTTAGATATTGTAAAGAAAATTATCTTGTAACAAAGAAAATTACATTGGATGGTCTATGAATATTATGGGGCTATAATTTATAATACCGTTTTTATTTCATACTTATAGAATAAATGATTGCAGGTAGAGAGGGAATTAACCAATGTTTGCGTCTTGACTGTGAGTTAAGGACAATGTTATACTCTTTCTTATATCTTGTTTATACATACAGTTGCCCCTTGGCTACGTAAATACTCCTCATTTTACATTTGAGGAAAGTATGGCTCAGAGAATTTAAATAAGTAGCACAAGGTTACACTTTTATGGTAGGTAGATTTGGGTCTGTGTGACTTTAATGTTCCTTTATGCCCAGTTTTTGTAGGGTAGGGTAGTTGTTAACTCATGCTACTGAGTCAATGGTCATGGTTTTTAGGGGTGGCAGGTAACTGCTTTGTCTTCTCAGATACTGGAGAAGGGGCGCAGATGCAGTCTCTCTGAAGCTATTTGAGTAACACTCAATTGCTATCTTGATGCCTTACTCAATAAATATGTCTTGGTCTAGTATCAAGTATCTAGTATCAGGTATTATCAACTACCTTTGTTAGTTATCAATAGCTTTTAATTATTTACTCATTATGATTATTCTCAAGGTGGTTGTTGGTGATTTTAACTAGAGGATGAGTAGGAGATTATTATAACTTAAGATAACACTTGTTTGCTTTTCCTTAGGGTGGCGTCCTAAAGGGCTACTGGTTGCACATCTTCATGAGCACAAATCGGCTGTGAATCGAATTAGAGTTTCTGATGAGCACTCACTGTTTGCAACATGTTCAAATGATGGCACAGTGAAGATCTGGAACAGTCAAAAGATGGAGGGGAAGACGACCACCACCAGGTGACATATGCGCAGGGGTGGCTTAATTCATTCTTTGAGGTCAACAAATACTTAGTGAATTCTTACTCTGTGACAGGCACTTGTTTTGGGTGCCAAGGATAGTGGACAAAATCCCTCTTCTGTAGAGCTTACCTTCTAGTGGAAAGTGAGAGACAACAGTAGTATAAATAAGTAAAACATACAATGTGTTAGATGATAAAACAAGAAAGTTATACAGCAGGAAAGGACGCCAGGAAATGTGATAAGGATTGGGTAGAGTAGAATTTTAAGTACTTGTCTAGAGAGTGTCTCACAGAGAAAATGACATTTGAGGAAAGAATTGAAAAAAGTGAGAGAAAAAGCCATTGTGGAGGAGCATTCCAGGCAGAGAGAACAGGAGTTCCAAAGGTCTTGATGAAGAAACATGTTTGGCATGTGTGAAGAACAGCAGAAAGGTCTATGTGGCTGGAAAGAGCAAGAGGAAGGGTAAGAGGAGTCAGAGTAGATTGGGCCTTATACAGGCTATTGTAAAGACTCTGAGTGAGATGGGGAGCCTTTAGGGAGTTCTGAGCAGAGGAGAGACAAGATCTGAGTTAGATGAAAACAGTTACTCTGGTTGTTGTGTTGAAAATAGACTGGAGGACAAGGTAGAAGCGGTTAGGAGACTAAAACAGTAATTCAGGCAAAAGATGGTGGCTTGGGACAGGGTGGTAGGAGGGAGGTAGTGAGAAGATGTTTTGATGGTAGAGCCAATAAGACTTGTTGAATGGATTAGATGAAATACGAGCAAGAGAAAAGTCAAGACGTGGTAGAATGACTAGCTGTGTAAGGAAAACAAGTACTGTGCCATTGTTCCACTGTTGTGGCTATGATGGAGATAATTTATGACTTGAAATCCCTAAGACTTTAAATATGCATGATATGATTTTGATAAATTTGATTATTATAAGTATTCTAGACTTATAGTTACGTACCTACTTAATTTTCAGTCTGTTTACCACCCCCTTCCCTCTCTTTCTCTTTCCTCCTACCCCCTCCACACACACAGACATGTGGAGGATGCCAAAAATGCATATACATTTTAAAAAAGGAAAAACTGTATTAAAATTGTATATTCAGTATATACTGATAATGAAAGATGATGTAAGTCATGTGGAACACCTTTTGTAATTGCAAAAGTTAAGTTGAATATGACTTGAGTATTACAAATTTAGTGGTTTTTTATTTCTTAAAATGTGTATACACTTTTTTGGCACCCTCTTTATATTTACACACACACACACACACACACAGCAGTTCTACAATATTCATATTGGTCTGAAGAGAAAGCTACTAGAAAGCAAAATTGAATCTTACCTGCTTATAAAAAGATGTGGGGAGTCTCTGATGCTTTTGTTGTCATTAATTTATTGACCATAACCATTAACCATAAAAGTCCTCAAACAGGAAAATATCCTTGATAATAAGTTTACTCCTTATTTAACATCCTGACAAATTTTTTGTGTTGATTGTTAATATTTTTACATTACATTTTTTACACTTTTTTCTCTGTATTTTTATACTATGCTTAATTATTGTTTTTATATTCATTGTTTTGGTATTACATTGGTGAGAACATAATTAAAAATCAGTGAGTCCATGTCACAACTTTTTGTCAACATTTTATTATAAAATTTAAAACCTGCAAGATAAATTGAAAGTCTTTCAGTGAATATCCGTGCCCATGCCACCCAGATTTTACAGTTAATAAGTTTTTTGTGTTTGCCAAGTCTTACAACTTTCCATCTGTCTACTTCTCATTAATCCAATTTTTAATGATTTCAAAATAAACTGTAGATATATTAGTCCCTCAGGACACATGTCATTAACTAGAGTTCAACATTTACTTACAGTTCCTTTTTGATATAAAGTTTATATATTGTGAAGTATATAGATCTTAAGTGAACTATTCTATGAGTTCTAGCAAATACATATACCTCTGCAACCTGAACCCCTTTCAAGATACAGAATATGACCAGGATGTTCGCTTATGTCCCTTCTTTTTAAATTTTTGCCCACTTCCTTCTTACCATCATTAGCATTTTAATTAGAGTTTTAAAACTTCTGATAATTCCTTTCCAGATGGTTCTCTGTTATCATCATCAGTTATATTCACTGTCCTTTTTGGACAATTGCAAAAACCTTGCCTGTAATTCCCAAATGATTTTTATCACAGAGTCATGCCTTCTGTACCCTAGTGTCTTATTTTAGGCAGTGGTATTCCAGTGTCACATTTTAGCCCATAGTATCTCCCAAATTTTGGCAACCTTAAAGACTTTGGTAACCTTATATGGTAATTAGGAGATTGGATCTCCTCTGGATGCAGCTTTCTTGCTTTGCTGTAGCACCCACTCCATTGTTTGTGGAATACAGTGACCTTGGCTTGGGGAAGAGGGAAAGGGAGTGAGTGTGTTGTCCCCATCACATGGCTTTACAGAGGGGAGGAGAAAGTGATTGTTATTGCCAAAGCCATCAGGGGAACAATTGGTGGCAGAGAAGGAGTAGCAAAACTAATTTATTTTCTTAGGAAATGTTACTAGTACATTCTGATTACAGAGGATTTTCCCTCTGCATTATGTATGTTTGCTTATCATCTAGTTCCCTTACATTCCCTTCCCTTCAGTCCTGACTTTCTCACTGAACTGTGATTGGTAACTTATGACACTGGGATTGTGGCTCTGCCATTTTCTTCTTTCTTAATTAAGTTAAACTTTCAGTTTGTCTCTTGGGGACTAGTTCTTAAAAAATTGCTGTTTTTCTAAATTTTTGCATAGATTTTGAACGTATTTCTTTATAGCATTCTAAATTTTATTTTCGGTGTCTTCTTTTTATGCTGACTTATTTCTGGCTCATTTATATCTTCAATTTTATGGGATGTGGTTTGTCAAAATTGAGGTAATGGTAGAATATCTAAGTGGAGTTCTGTCACAGTGAGGAGTTGGAGCGATTTGAAAGGTATACAAGAAAATAGTCAGTGTTTGGGTTACACGTTTTGGAGTCATTAGTACTGTTGAAAAGCAGAGTTGTTTTTTAATTTTTTAGTGATATGGCTATTCTGAAGGAAAGGGAATATAAAAAGCAATGGAAGCCTGAAGCTTGAATCTTAGGAATGGAATTTTGGGGGTGGGAAGAGTGGGGCCAAAAAAGGAAAGAAAATAAACCACTTAAGTTAATGTCATGGACTACAACAGAAAAGAGAAAGAAACTTGTAGGCCTCTCTCAAATGCAATGAAGCATGAAAACCTTCTAAGGGTATTGGGGCATTCTCATATAGTGCCTTCTGGTGGAATGCAATTAGTATGTCTTCCCTTGAGTGCTTTTAGACAATTTGTGGCACAAGCCATTATGATGTACATATCCTAAGGAAAGAATTATGAATAAACTCAGAGATTTAGTTTTAAGACTTTTCATTTTGGTTTTCTTTATAATAGGAAAAACACTAGAAGCAAATTAAGGGTTCAACAGTAGGGGTGAAATTGGTTAATAACCTATGATGCAGTTATAAAACTGATGTTATGGAAATAGTTTTTGATATGAAAGAGTTTGATAATTGTGTTTTAAAAGGTTTAAGAAGAGCATATAGTGTTTCTATTTTTGGAATGGTAGAGTAAGGACCTTCAGAAATACACTCTATAAAAGCAATGTTCTTTTGGCAAAAACTATCAAAATCACTTTTCTTAGAACCCTGGAAATTAAATACTTGCAACAATCCAAAGATTGTTTATTTAAGAAAAATATCTACTTTTAGTAAGAACAAAGACTCATGTGAGGTTTAATTTAGCTGAATCTCATCACCCTCTTACCTAGCTCTTTTGGGAGCTTTTATAACAAATGGTCCTACAACTACAGTAGCCATCAAACTCCCTTGGTAGCCAGCGGAGGAGTCACTCCCCCAAAACTCTGTTCCCAGAGAATGGTTAGTATTTGACCTCTCTGCCAGCTGGCTGAAAAGTTCCATTTTCAGGGACTGTCTTTATTTGACGTGACTTGGACTTTGTTTTCTGAGAAAAACCTTGCCTAACCTACAGGGCATTTGTTAAAGATAAGTAGCACCATTTGCTGAACATGGCAGCTCTTTGAGGTGGCTTTACTGTTGGAACCAACAAAAAATGAACAGAAAGCTTAGAAGGAACTGAGTAATGAGATGTCCCTAGGTGCCTTTGAAAGATTTTGATGTATTTGTAGGTATTTGTAAGGCCACAGGTAAGTGTAGCATTGTGCACATGCCCAAGAAAGAACTGAAAAGACTAAATTCTTAACCTCTGACTGACTTTGAGACTGTCTGTGCACAAGCAAGAATTGAAAGCGAAAGGCAAAGTTGTAAAAATACTTGGTGGGGTGTTGGGGTGCTGCAACACAAACCAAACCCTCAATAAAAGGTTGGAACACTTAATGATTCAAGTCTGTTTTTTTTTTTTTTTTTTTTTGTAGACAGAGTCTCACTATGTTGCCTTTGGTAGAGTGCTGTGGCATCAGAACTCACAGCAATCTCTAACTCTTGGGCTTAAGTGATTCTCTTGCCTCAGCCTCCCAAGTAGCTGGGACTATAGGTGCCTGCCACAACGCCCGGCTTTATTTTTTGTTTTTACAGTTGTCATCGTTGTTTTAGCTGGCCCGGGCTGGGTTTGAACCCTCCTGCCTCAGTGTATGTGGCCGGCACCCTAACCACTGAGCTATCGGTGCTGAGCCAATAATTCAAGTCTTGAAGGAAATGTCCAGTTATTAGATGACCACTAAGCTAACTGAACAGGGACTTCATTGATCACTCATGAACAAAGTTTACATGAGTTTACAGAATTCATCCAGGATAATCATTAAAGAAACAAATAGTATCAACTCTAGAATCTTCTTTACAAAGTTGACACATTATATTTTGAATGTACAGTTTTGGGTAAAAACTACATGTCAGGCAAAGAAACAGGACAAGATGGCCTATATAGAGAGAAAAGGCAGTCAGTGGAAACTGTTTCTAAGTAATCCTA